AAATTTCTAAAAAGTGAAAAATAAAAAGTGAAATTTTTGAAAAGTGAAAAATAAAAAGTGAAAAATAAAAAGTGAAATAATAAAAAGTGAAATAATACTAAGAAATTTTATCATTATATGAATATTTTTGGAATTTTCATGTTTTTCAATTAATTTTTTTTAATTTGCAATTTTATATTACTATTATAATAATATGATTAGTATAAATTATAAATAATATAAAATGAGATAATATAAAAATAAAATAAAATAAAATAATATAAAAATAGTATGAAATAGAATAAAATAGTATAAAATAAAAATAGAATAATATGAAATATAATAAGAATAAAATGAAATATTATAAAAATAGTATGAGATAAATATGGATATTATAAAATAAATATGGATATAATTTACAAATTAATTATTCAATTAAAAATAAAGTCATATAATATATCAAAATTTATATCACAATAATATTAATTTGTAATATTAATATTAACTAATGAAATTATATATTTTATCTTTTTAATTATATAATAAATTAAATATTTGCAAATAAAAAAATAATTTTTAAAAAATTATAAATAATTATATACTTAATATATTAAATTAATTATATAATATTTAATTTTAATAATAATTAATTTTAAACAAGTTATTTTTAATTTTCTTAAAATTATTAAATTATAATAACTTTATTTAATCAAGATATATTTGCAAAAATAAATAATTTAATTAGATAAAATATAAAAATAGATAATTTATATAAGATAATCAAGTTTTAATTAAGCAAAATAATAAAAATAATAATATTTAAATATTTTTAATATATTATATTTGTTTTATTAATATATAGTAACTAATTGAATTATGAAATCACACATATAATTTTATTAATAAAAAATAGTAAAAATCGAAATTTTTGTTTTATATAAAAGTTTTGATTTTATTAATAAATATTTTTTAATTTTATATTAAAATAAAGATTATAAGTTATAGTTTAATATATATTTTTCTGGATTTTTTTAACAAAGTTGTTCTAATTATAAAGTTATTGCAAAATTTTTTATAATTAATTTTATATTTTAATTATAAAAAATTTTTGTAATAACTTTGCAATTAAAATAACTTTATCAAAAAAATTTAAAAAATCCAAAAAAATATATATTAAACTATAACTTATAATCTTTATTTTGATATAAAAATAAAAAATATTTATTAATAAAATTAAAGACTTTTATATATGACAAAAATTTTAATTTTTGCTATATTTTATTAATAAAATTACATATATGATTTCATAATTTTTTGTTAGCTATTATAAATTATTATTTATAATGAATATATTTAAATATATTAACATATTAATTTATATCAAAAAAAATTATAAATATATTTATAATAATATGAAATTAATAATATAAAAATTATATATTTTAAATATTATATTTTTTTAAATTTAACAAATATTATAAATTAATTATTAATATTAATAAAAATTTTAAAATATAATTAAATCTCTTTATAGTCATATCTATTTATATTTATATCTTTCTATAATTATTCTATTTTGTTTTTTATTTATATATAAACATAATAAAAAAAATCTTTCTATAATTATATATAGTTACCAAATTTTGCTTTTCTGGAGATAATAATTATAAGAAGATTTAACTATATATGTTAAAATATTTTGTTTGAGATTTTTTAACAAATCTTATAATGTTCAATTTATAATTTTTAAATTAAATTTGAAATTAAAATTAATTTTATAATAATATTATTAGATTAGATTAATATTAAATATATTAAATTTTTTAAAATTTACTTTGAGTATTTTTTTAATATGTTATTAACAAAATTATATTAATTTTAGATTAGATAGTTCTTGTAATATTAATTTTAATAAAGTTTTTATTTATATAAAAATATATTATATATAAATTTTAATTATAAATTAAATAAAAAAATCAAAAAAATCATATTTATAATTATTTTGAAAAATCTTTATACAAAATAAATTAATAAATAACTAATATTTTTTAATATTATTAATTATTTAAATTATTCTTTTCAATTTTATAATTTATATTATAATAGAGATTATAATTTATTATATATATAATATATTGCTATATTTTCAGTTACTAAGAGAATAAAATTAGAATTATGAGTTCAAAAAAGATTAATTTTATATTTTTGGTTTCTATTACTATTAAATTTGGAATCTTGTAATAAATACTATAGCAATAATTTACAAAATCCATTATAATATATTTAAATACAAATTAAATATTTCTAAGTAAAAATATTATAAATTTAATAGCAGTTATTTGATTATTTATTAATTTTAAAAAATATATATGCTAAAATAACATGATTATTACTTTATGTATAAAAGCTTTGAATAAAAATGATTACTAGTAATAAATTTTGTTATATCAAATTTGTTGTAAAGTAGTAAAATTTTTAATTTCTTGTTTAATTTTAATAGATATTATAATATTAATTTGTTTTTGATAAATAAGATTATGCTTAAGTTTTGCTATCACTTTGTTGTAGAAATATTAATATGTATAATTGATTTTTTATAACAATCTATATAAGTTATTCTTTTGCAATTTAATTTCTTATAATTACATGTCAATTATAAAATTAAAAATAAACAAAATAAAAAGTACTAATATTTTATAACGAGTTGAAATACAAGATTGTGATGTGAGATATTCTATATAGATCAAATTTATTTGAGATATAATAATAAGTTTGTTAGTACAAATTTTAAAAGTTTATAACTTTTCAAGAAAGAAAGATATTATTCATAAAATAATATTAAATTATAAGAAAAATTTACATATACGTAATAAAAAATCTGTATATTATTGCATCTCAAATAGATTTAATCTACATAGAATATCTCACACTCCAACGCAAGATGCTGTTGTAATCCTTTAATATTATCAATTTAATTAATTAAATCATTATAAAGTCATAATCAATTAACTAAATAATACTCATTACTTTTATCTGACAATTTCTAATAACTTTAGGACTTCGAAAGAGCCGAGCCAAGCCGAGTTTGTAATTCGACTCGTTTTTAGAAGTCAAAGAGTCGAGACATATTTCTAACTCGGCTTGTCTTGGCTTGGCTCGCAGAGCTTAAAGTTGCTCTAGAGTTCAAAACGAAGGTAAAAAAAAAAAAAAACATATAGTTGTGAAATTTTATTATACATTAATAAAATTTTAATTAAATCATCAATATCATGTTAAGATTGATTAGGATTTTTACTAAACAAAAACAAAATTGCTGTAAGCTATACTCTTGGTTAATTTAGAATTTGAGGAAATATTCATTATTTTATCGTTATGCAAATACTCTGGCTCTGCTTTTACGAGTATATATACGAGCTGCTCGAGCTGCCTCAACTCTTTCGGAGCCCTAGTTAACTTTGAATTGATTCTGTTTCTTGTAAAATTCTTGATAGATTTCCTTAGTATGAATTATCAAGATATTTACTGGCAATTTCTAGTGAGTTTTACAATTATATTTTGGAGGGTGAGTGAGTTGTATGTAGTGATACCTTTAATTAGTAGACGAAATTAAATTTAACGAAATGACGAAACTCTTGACGCAATTGTTTTAGCCTATAATAATTAGTGACGAAATTAATTTTTTGATATTATTCTAAAGAATATGTCCTTTAAGATTCTTATAAAAAATATTTAAGGTATTATAAAATTTTTTGTACAATTGCAAAATGACCATTAGCCAATTCAAAAATAGTTTGGTTCTTTAGTTGTATGTATCAAGTATAATATTTTCAATTTAAATTCTTTTTTTATTATAGGTCTCAAAGAGGTAGGTAAAAAGATGATACGTAATTATCTGTTTCCTTTTTCTGAGTCAAAATAAGATATCGATATTTCGGTCACAGATCTTTCATCGTCATGCAATTCTTTTTGGGAGATATTGTAATTTGACGATCAAATAATATCGATCGATATACGTACGTACATGTACATATTTACTCAATTGCGGCCCGCAGGACAATTTTAGACACTGTTTACAGTTATTAGCCCCCCCCCCCCCCCCTTTGAAGAAAATTTAAACTTTAATTTAGTACCAATAAAATTGAAGGAATTGTATGGTGAATCTTGATTTATTTATTCATTTGTAGAAGCATCATTGGTTTTATTAAATCGGACTTAAGGTTTAAATTTTCTCCACTTTATGCAGTATTGTCAAAATACCGCAAAACCGTATTGATTACGATAATATAGCTATAGTTATTATATTTTTAATTGTCGTCGGTTAAAGTTTCTCGTAAACCCGTAATGCCGTAAATCTGTCAAATTATAGATTTACGGATTTACGATTCAAGGATTTGATAGTACCCGTCCAAAATAAAAATTTTCAAGATATGTATATCTAAATTTTATATCATTTAAAGCTAATTGATTGTATTTTTGAAAAAAGAATACAAGACTTGTGGCAACTTAAAATGCAAAAACTGGTTTGATCGGAAAGACAAAAAATTTTTTATATGTACGTATTTTACTATATAATTTTAAATCGGGCGATACTTTGGGAGTACTGAACAGCACCCTCGGCTAATATCACAAGTGTAGAACAACGAAGCAATGCTAACTAAAATCATATTGTTATTTTAGTTGAATGACTGATCCAATACATGGACATAATTATATAATATATTGTTAAGAGTTCCAAAATATTCGGCTTAAAAGTCACATGATTTTGATTCAGCCGAATTATTAATTACACATCGGAAACAAACCCCGAGATTGGCAATATCAATGCGGTGTAAACATTAACATACGTATACGTATTAATTGTATTTTTTTCTTATCGTTACGTATAGTTATTATCTGAGAAATAAAAATGCCACACAATAAGGTCACAGTGTATCTTAATGAAACACCAGAAGAACTTGAGACAAAACATTTAGCTAAAAGAGTTTACATTTATTTCACATTGTTGATTGATTATATTAGTTACGGGATAAATTATTTAATATCATTGATTCTAAATAATTTCTTTGGGCATCCGAAACCTAGTCTTCTTCACACTCCAACGCCTACATTTCATCCTGTGGTATTAGTAACAGGAACTTCCGCGGGAATAGGAAGGGATGTAGCATTGACTTTGGCAAGAAAAGGTTATACCGTATTTGCTGCAGTTCGTAAAGTTGAAGATTTTGAATTATTACTTCAAGAATTTAGAGATATAACGGTAACAAATGAAAACCATGGAACACTAAACTGCGTCTTAATGGACGTCACAAACTGCAATGATAGGCAAAGAGCATACGATACTATTCGTCATGCTATCGGACGAGATACACCATTCGTGGGTTTGCTGAATGTTGCAGCAGCAATTATTTATTTGCCTGTTGAAGTTGCTTCGGATTTAGCAATTCATGACACTTTTGAGACTAATTTATTTGGTATAATTCATTTGACGAAATTATTTTTACCGTTATTAAGAGAAAGTCGTGGAAGAGTTGTAAATATTGGGAGTATGGCCGCTTGGAATTCTACTTCATCGATGGCCATATATTCTGCATCTAAAGCCGCTTTAAGAGCTCTTACTCATACTTGGAGGCAGGAAGTTCGTTCAATGGGAATTAACATGATACTAGTGGAACCAGGTACATGTAATTTCATTTAATACAGGTACAAAATTAGATATTAAACTAATTACGTACGTGTTATCGTTATTAATTAGGCATGATCGATACCCGATTCACTCAAAAAGTACATCAGGATTTCCAGGAATTTACTGGATTCTCAAATTCTCCTTATTGCGAAAAGCTTCAGAATGTTAATCTGAGGACTTTGGAAATCTACGAAGCACAATTTAAAATTTTTGGAAAGTTCTGTGATGAAGCGATCGATTCCGCAGCTCCTCCTGGAATTGTCACCGATGCTATTTTACACGCTTTGACTTCTCGATTCCCAAAAACTACTTATTATGTCGGCATGGACTCTAAAGTCTTGGCATCGTTGAACTGGTTATTAGGAGAACGTATTTCGGAAGCAATACAAGCAAGGATTTTTGGTTTTTAAAATTTTATCAATAACAAGTTCAAAATGTATTAGTATCAGTATATAGCAATAACGATAACTATTGTAGACATGACACCAAAATTTTAGCAATTCTTATCGTTATTTTGTTTTTTTTAAAAAAAAACACTGCCATATAAGCAATCTATCCAATTCTATTTTCTATCCTAAACTCAAAATCGAAATTTTGAATTCTTGATCACTAATAAGAAATAAAATTTAAAAGTTAAATTATACGAATAATACATATAGCTAAAGAACGGAAAACCTAAAGAACCGAGCCAACCGAATGAAGAACGAACAGACAGAATAATCTATTAAAGAAATAAATTTGAACTATCGAGACTTTATTTGTCATGCTAAAAAGAGACTAAATTAATTAGAATAAAAACAATGAAAAAGTGATTTATTAATAATAGCATTAATGTTTTGGAGTTACTGCAATTATCAAATCTAAATTTCATTGAGCATACCGATACAAACAAAAGTTAGTCATCTGTGGATAAAAATTAGTGTCGTTAATGGAGCACTCCAGACAATACGTAATCCACTCCGGAGTGACTCCGGAATGGGTTCTATGTTTTAATATGATCTGGAGTGCTCCATTAACAAGCCTAATAAAAATGGGCTATATACAACGATGATGACGATGACGATAGTAATAACGACGATGACATAACTGGTCTTTGGTTTTGTTTTAATTTTTTCTCTTTTCGTGGAAGTTGTACTTTGATTAGATATTAAGTGGTAAAGATGGTGTAGAAGCAATTGAAGTATTGTCATCAGATTGAGATTCCGTATCCATTCATTACATGTATTTCTGTTGTTTCATAAATATTAACATTTTGTTGAATGACAGTTCGTAGTTTGTCATGCGCTATATCATTTGCATGTTTTCCAATTGCATTGTCTTTAAAATCGATTCTCAAATATTAATCGATTCTACAAAATTAATCGATTCTCAGACTCGATTCCTATCCCTACGCGGCGTCAAGAGTCAAGTCACATCTCTGACTCGGGCTCGTAACAATTCGGCTCGCCTTAAATAAGAGCCATTAAAACCGAATCTCGCTCTGCTTTTACGAGTATACAGTGGCTCACACATGTAACGGAACACGAAAATTAACTTTCTGGAATTTTATTTCCATGACTATTAGTTTGAACAAAATAAAAAAGTGTTCATTTAAAACCTTGAAACCTCCAATATTTTTTAAAAATAATTTGACAACATTATTTTGTGAAATAGAGTGATTTAAATCAAAATTTACAATTAGTAAATTTCTCACAATGAAGAACATTTTTTCCATGACAGATTCAAATTTGAACCACTAATTAAAATGTTCTACTCTATGAAATAAATCTACATATTTACCAATTTTCATAAAATTGGCCCAAAATTCACCAAGACTTGAGACTGAAGGATCAAATTTATGCTAGGAGCATTAATATATGTATTAATGCTCATAATCCAATTCAATAGTGGAATTGTATTGAACTTCACAAAAATTATATTCAGAAATTAGCATTATATTTATTTGCAATTTGTCCAAATTCAGCAAGTTGTGAGCAAGGATTTTCAACTTTAGAATGGCTCATTGGTAAATATCATCTTTGTCTTGGTATAGAAAAAAGAGAATCTATAGCAAAAATGATATCTTTTTATCAGTCAAATGCAAAAAAAGAATTGGTTTTTTATGGAAAAAATAATAACAAATTATCAAATGAAGAACTTTAATTAACTTTAATTGAATTATATAATGATGATAATATATTTAAAAATAATTAACATATAATTAGTAATAAAGTTATTCCAGTTGAATTATTAGAACTTGAAAAAATAATTAATTTAGATTATCAAATTATTATTGATAGTTTGAAAAGAAATTAATAATTTAAGTAATATTCATAAAGAAAATAATAATTATTTAATAATTAATAATAATATTAATATTAATAAAGTTTTAGAAAAAGATATATTTAATTTTAATAATAATGATTTATTATTAAAATTTGATGAAGAGGAATAATTAATTTGTTTAATTATTTTATTTATAATAGTCTATTTACAAATTATTAATTTAGATATAAATTATTTGTAATATTTTTTGATATAATAATAATTTTGATATTTTAAATAAAAAAATTTTGATATAATTAAATATATGCAATATAAAATTATTATATTATTTTAATAATATCAAAATTATTTACTTATACTGAAATTCTTTGACAATACTAAAATTATTTATTATGTTAAAATTTATTTATTATATTATTTTAGTATTATTATATTATTTTAATATTACTTGAATAATATCAAAATTACTTATTTATACTAAAATTTTTGACAATGACAAAATATTTTGACAATACTGAAATTATTTATTATGCTAAAATTTATTTACTATGATATTTTAATATTACTTTAATAATATTTAAATTATTTACTTATACTAAAATTCTTTAACAATGCTAAAATTATTTATTATATAAAAATTTATTTACTATATTATTTTGATATTATATTATATTAATTTGACAATACTTATAATAAGAGTTTTGGCATTTTGGTATTTATTAAAAAGATTTTAGCAAGCATTTTTAAAAGAAGTATTATAAAATGAAAAAAAAATTATTTTGAGTTTGTTATATTAATTTTTTATACTAATATTAAATATTTTAGAGCTATAAATATTATATATATTTGAAATTTAGTTTTTTAGATATAAATATAATTAAAATTAATTAAAATTATAAATTAGAATATTCAAAAATTAAGAAGAATAAAAATATTCTAAAAAATATTTTTACTAATTAATTTTTTCATTATTTTGAGAAAATATATTTTTATATCTCAAAGTATATTTTTAATTAAATTTACTTTATATAAACTAATAATAAATTAAAAAAATATAATTTTGTTCAATTTTTAAATAAATAATAATAAAAATGAATTTTTTTAAAAATTTAAAAAAATTATACAGTTAAATCTTTTTATACTTACAATTATTTATAGTTATATCTCTTTATAATTATTTTATTTTACTTTTTTAATTAATATAAATATAGTAAAAATTTTTCTATAGTTATATTCTCTTTATTATTATCAAATTTGCTTTTCAAAAAGTGATGATTATAAAAAGATTTAATTATTTCTTTTTAATTAATTATTAGTTTATAATTATAAAATAAATTTAATTAAAAATATTCTTTAAGATATGAAAATATATTTTCTTAAAAATATTTGCAAATTTAATTAGTAAAAATATTTTTTAGAAGCATTTATTTTTCTAATTTTTGAATATTTCAATTTGCAATCTTTAATAAAAATTTACACAAAATTTTATTAATTTATTATTATAACTTGATGTTTTATTATAAATAAAATTTTCTTTTAATATATAAATTAATAATATAATGCAATATATTCAGAAAGATTATTATTTTAAAATTTAAATAATAAATAAAAATTAAAAATTTAATTAGTTAAAAACTTTATTGTAATTAAAATATTTTAAAGAAATAAATTAGTTAATATTTTGAAAATATATATTTAAATATATTTATTTTAAAAGTTAGTTAAAAATTTAATTTTAAAATATTATATTAAAATTAATCAATCAAATTCTTTTTTAGAAAATTATAGTGCAGGACACTTAAAAATGCCAATCACGTGACTTTGTCCCATTTTTGCCACCAAAATCAAACTGGATTTTAAATGGACCAAAAAATCGATTTCTGTCCACTTGCCAAATTAAGAACAGTCACATGTCATGTGACTTAAAATCCAATTAATCAGA